CATCCAGTGACCAGTATATTTGCCTTCTACCAGACTCCTGTACCCCACTGGTCTAGGTCTGTCACATTGGCTAGAACTTCTCAATGAAACAATTTTAAGAATTTCTTTAAAATCTTGCAAACTGAAGAACCATTTTAGCTGGAAAAAAAACCCAAAACAAAAAAGCTTTGCTAGTGTAAAACTGAGTCTGATCCCAGTACATTCCATGTTTTGCGAAAAGCAAACACAGCGAGCAGGATTTGAAAAAGAAATGTGCACAAGTGAAGACTTCCATCCCAATTGTCAAGCAGGTAAAACTTCCAGAGCATGTGATGGAAAGAACCCAATAGATCTTAAACACCCAGTCCTGTGTTCCCACACAGCTCTGACACACATTATACTTAACTTCACACCTCTGCTATTCAATTTCTGTGCCCGCGCTCTTTACCAGTGCACCTCTGTCAATTCACCTCAATCCTGACCGGCACAACTCAACTCAATCTCTCCAAAATATTAAACCCAGGCTCACTGTAAACAGAAGATGGACACTGCAATGTAATCTACACAGGCTGCATGTTAAAGCAATTCAGGAATGTGGTACTTTTATATGGAATACATTACTCCGGAGTTCCACAAACTATGCAGGATGACAGTTGGCTTTTAGGTGCAATTTAAGATGTTGGCTTTCGTTTATGAATCCCTAACGAGTTGGATCCTGATAATGTTAGTCTCCTCTCCTCCCATTTGATACTGTGGCTGTTGAGATCATCTGAGGCAACAGAACTAACACCCCAGCTTAATTGTGAGAGGGATGAAGGCTTGTTGCTTCTGTTGTAATCGAGAGGGGCAGAACTGTAGAATTCTATTCCCCTGTTAGCTTACAAAAGCTGGAATCTGATTACCTTCAGGTCAAGTTGCAAGGCTTATTTGTTCTCCCAGGCTTTTCCAGTGTCAGGGTGGAGAGTATCTGCATAAGGTGATGGGAGAGCTTTCTGAGGGATTCAATAGAATTTGGAGTGCTGTTTCTCTTGGACTTTGCTCTCAGGAGTTGTTAAAATAATGTAAAATTAGAACATGTGCACAGGGCATCGGTTTATAGAGCATGGCTGTGATTTTTAAATAGAATAAAAGTAAATGTTAAGCAGTATTTCCTTTGTCACAAACTCTGTCAGCACACTGGCAATATGGATGATTACTGATTCTTTATCTGTAATGTACTTGTTTTAAATTACAAAGCAAAGAATAGAAGCTTTAATGGGTGCTTATTTAAAAAATACTTTTTCTATTACAGACTTGCCAAGCTGCCAACAATCTTTTACCCAACCGAATATGAATACAGCAGCCACTAGTCAGCACCGAGTGTGCTATGACTATTATAAAACATCTTAATTGAGGCCGTGGTTTTATTTTACATGCTCTCAGAAGCAGGTACAGAGCAATATAATAGCCTTATTGCAAATCCCAAAGATAACTTGTAAAAATGAGTCAACAATTCGTAAAACTAGATGATGAGATAAACATTTAAAAAAAGAAATGGCAGTTTTATTGTGCCCCCATTTATTTTTTATATCTTGGACTGATTACAAAGAAAGTGCAGGGAAGAAGGCAATAAATGCAGCACTGCTCAAGTGTAGTGCAGCATGTGTCATACTGCCACATGAAATCTTGCTTGCAAAATTCATTCAAATTGGTCAGGACATGGACACTCGTATTGACTGAAAACTAACTGAAAGACTGAAGGATTATGATTAACAGTCAAGGTCAGCAAAGAGGCATTTAGTGGGGCCACAGAGAATGGGGTTAGGTCCTGCTATACTTAACATCTTCATTAATGATCTGGGAAATGGAAAAAACAGATTATAAGTGAAATTAGCAGCTTCTGTTAAACTGAAAGGTGCAGCAAACACCAGTGCAGGGGGAAAAAACCCACAAAAAGGCCCTAGAGGTTAAAAATACAGGCAGAAAATAAAATGAAATTCAACCTGGATAAATGCAGCTAATCCATCTGGGGAAAATAATCCAACACAGAGCTATTCAGATGGAGGAAGAGAACTGGGGAGCAGTAATGCTGAGAGTGAAAAGCAAATAGGACAGAACTTTGCAATGCAGTAGAGTGGCAAAAAAACAAAAAACAAAAAAACCAACAAAAAACAGAACGATGTCAATTTTGGATTGTATCTACTAAGCCTAACATCCAAGAGAAAGGAGGAAATATTACCTTTATATGGTTCTTGTGAGACCACACCTAGCACATTACATAAACTCAAATACTAGAAAGACATTGACATGTGGAGAGAATTCAGAAGAGCAAGAAAAGTAAGTATGAGGCTGGAGGATTAAGTTACAAGGAAAGATTAAGGGAATAACAATTTATTGCTTTACAAAACAATGACTAACAGCAGGAGAAAATAAGTGTCTACAAGTACTTGAAGGGTGTAAACACCAAGGAGGGAGAAGACGTGTTTAAAACTAGTTCAAGGGGATACAAATTGGAGGAATGGAACTGAAGAGGAAAACAGATTGACTATTAGGCAATATTTCTTAAAAGTCAGAATTAGTCGGCTGAGGAACAGTCCCCACAGAAAGGGAGGGAAGCCCCATCTATTGGGATTTTATAGCCTATCTAGAGAATAGGCTTTAAGGAACAATCCTGGCCTGGCTCCTTGTAGGAATGGATGAGATGTGAACTAAGAGGACTATTCCACCTTTAACTTTTATGATGTGGTACAAGAGGACCCTGGGAAGTGACACACCCATCTATGGCAGTGAAACTTGGGTAGGTCAGAGGGATCCTCAAACAGCTGAAGATGGAAAACATTTTAGTACTAGTGAGAAGTGCAGTCATCACGCTAGACACTGCTGCTTATCACATCCATATTCAGGCCTCTACCGCAGCTGACCATTAGATGATCTGTGCTGGGATGTCCCTCTCTCTGCAGTTTGGAGACTGACCACAGAGTTATGAAGCAGAGCTAAGCAATTTATCCCAATAGAGAGGCGGAGTGTCTCCCCTGCATTCTTACAGAGGGACGTCTCAGAGCAACTCTCACACTCTGGGAAAGCACTGCCAAAATCAGAGATAACATTCAGAGGAAAACGCTATTTGTGGCTTTGTAGCATTGGTCACAGAACAGCATTATGGAAGCTATTCCACTGTGTAAAGCTACCACCATTCAAAATGAAAAGGTTCAAAACCTTAGCCAGTCAGGCATACCCACTAATCCACACTGCTTCGCAGCCACAGTTCACTATTTGGGACACCTACTTGGTAATTACTGATAAAAAAAAGACATACATTAGCCGTAGGCATATTTCAGAGATGTAAAGATGCAGTGTGGTGCTCCTGTGGTAATGGAAAATGCCATGACACTGTCCTCAAGTGTATAGGAATTAACTCCAGTATCCCGTCCAGATTTAAATTCTAATTATTACATCATTCTGCCTCCTTAGCATTCCTTCTGCAGTTTCAACTAGGCATGGTTTTCATCCTCACTGCCTACCTTAAATGTTATGTAGCACCGCTACTGAACAGCTGCCATGTTTTACAGTAGAAGTGGTTACATTTCAGTGGTGATTGATGGGATCACTGTGCCCATTTTGTTAAATTTGCCCATTGTTTTGGGAGGAGATAAACGGACTCTACAAATATCAGACTTATAGGGTTGACACAGCTCATCCACACCAGCTCAAGCACTTGTGTTAAGTTAGATAGCAAACATCCACTCAGAGTGCAACAAGAGTGCATTTATTTGGTATAAGCATTGCACTGATGTGGTAAGCACCATGCTCAGCCTTCAGACGGGATACTAAACTGAACTCTCGTCCTTTCCCAATCACTGGTGGCTGCTCTCCAGGTAGACGTTAGGCACTTTTCAAACACAGTTGACAATCCCAATACTCCAGCAGAGAGACTCCTTCAACTCCTTAGTGAAACCAATTCTAACACCCCAGGCTGGGTGCAAGATATTTATAAGCAAACCATGGCTGCCACACATGCTGACCTGGCAGTAGTAATGTTCATATTTGGGATGCTCCAAGTATGGGGCATGCTACAGACAGAAAACTGCTGCATGGTTGATGTCAGGCTTCAAGCCATAGTAAACTTTCACAATTCTGTTCCATTTAGGTCCATCACTGTGGTATGCAAGTACCTAGTAGATTTTTAATCACTCAATGGGATGGGAACTTTTGACCCTTAGCCTCATAAGCCAGCAACCACAGCATTGAGCCACAGAGCCAGCTAAACAAGACACCAACACAGAAACAAAGTGCTGTATGAGCAGACGAATACTCACCCTCATGGATGTTTCTCCACCATGTGGCTGCTGCAGCCTGAAGACCTGAGCCACCATGTGTTCTGTGGAAGGGTGCAGTAGGATGCGTCGGGAAGCCAGTCCCACCATCACGTACCTGCCCATTGGAGACAGGCTCACGGAAATGGCATTGGGGCCTGGGGATAGAACATAACAGGTGATATTTCCCTTGAGGGATTGCAGAGCCACTGGCCCTTGTCCTCATTAATTGTCTACTCCCTCATGTGCCTTATAATTCACTATGTAATGAGCTCACGCTGCAGTGTCCACTGAACTAGGAGAGCCCTACCAATGCCAGTTAGAACTCTGCTAGGAGATTCCTCACAGCCGTGCCCTCCCATTAGCAACTAGCCAGGATTTCAGCAACTGGAGCTTCACCACAGCGGTGCCACATCATTGCCTGGTCAGATCATCAATTATGTGATCTTCCTTAGAGCAGTGACATGCTACTTCATTGTGATCTTCAGATCAGGGCATTTCAATGCCAAGAGTATGCTCCTGAAATAACGGTTCTGAGATCTCTCCCATTCCACCCCCCGATGCATTCTTACCAAATCTTTTTGTGTATAGCATCTCGCCCAGGTTGTGAGGTGCCAGAGAATACACAGCCAGTATGCCTTCATCAGGAAAGCCCCGCTGACTGCTGGGAATGAAGGCTGCCAGGAGCTGCCCATCTGCAGAGATATCGCAGCTAGCATCATTGTAAATCTTGCAGTTCTGAACAAGCACATTCACAGAAGCTGCAAAGGAAAAGGAAAGAAAGGAACAGGGGTTAAACAAGTAAAGTTGCAGTTGGGAAGAACTGAGGCTCAAGCCTAGTGCCAGAGATAGGGATCTTCCATGTAAAAGGGCTACAGATTTTTGGTCTCCTTACAAAGGTCCCACAGTATTTACAGCCCTACTGGAATACAATCTATTCCAAAATGGAGAACAGACATTTTGAGGAATCTTCAGCCTTAAGCAGAGAGCCAAGGACGATTACATGCTATCAAACCACTTTCTTCATCCTTAGACCACACTTTGCTAAAGATGGCGTAGTTTAGAACAGGAGTTTAGAACTGTGGACCTTTGAACACTTGAGGTCCACAGAGAGGTGGCTGTTCACAGGGTTCTTGTTTCCAGCTGCTAAAAAGGCATTAAAATATTTATTGTCTTTAGCTACTCTCCTGATATTTTTCCCATGTTAGCAACTGCTGTAGTTGCCACAATGATTTTTGTGTTCATGAATGGGGGACGAGTAGGGGACCCAGACAATGGATTCTGAAGAGAGATGTCAATGAGAATCTGCCTGTTAATCTGTAGTGTATGCTGAAAATCTAAGAATCATTATTTTAGGGTAATTAGAATACATAGGTCAAACACACAGACATCTTAAAAGAGCTCAGAGTTCAACAGAGTTGCCAGCCTAAAGCTATATTCCCTTTAATTGCTCCAGTAAACAGGAGATAAAGGGTAAACACTCCTCACGCCAGATAAGAAAGCCCACTTTTGGTGTGAGCATGCCAAATCCACCCTAGATATGGCTAGCAAGAAAGGGCAATTTTCGCTGTCAGAGCATTCTCCTCTGGCCAGTCCAAACACCTCATCTCCAACCCATTATTCAACTACTCCAAAGCAAAAAATAAAACAGAAAAAATGCATTGTATGCTATTGTATTTGAGAAACAGTCTGAGATAGATGAGGCAGCATGGTCCAGTAGACAAGACACTGCACTAGACCAGGGTTCTGCTCCTGACTTGATGTGTAAATTTGTGCTACTCACTTCCCCTCCACTGTGCCTGTATAGCCTCCCACCATAACCATTTGTCTGTCTTGTATATTTTGGTTGATGGCTCTAGGCACTAAAATAATAACAGATTATTATAATGCATACTCAAGGGGCAGAGAGAAGTTTACCCATGCAGCTTAAACATTAGCACTTCGGGATTTCTGAGGGTTTAACTGTGCAATATTCTCAATAAAGTCTGTGCCAGAATTACATAGGCTCTTTTTACAAAGAAAATTAAGAACCACCTTCACTTTCCAGGACTTTGAAACTCAGTGGATTACAAAGCATTTGCAATATTAGTGTGTTTAAACTCCATGTTGTGGAACTGTTTTTATAAAAAGCAATGGAACATACTGTTCCACTCCTTAGCTGAAGGCCCCAAGTGCACAGGGGCCTTCCCACAACCCCTTCAGATCTTACATAGTCTGCAGGAGGACTCAATATATTTGGCTACAACTACACATAGGTGCACCAAATGCTTCCTCAGCTGGACAACCAATGAGTTTAGTAAAAAGAAATCTGCTGGGCATGCATGCTATGTAATTTTGAAAGGCCCAAACTCAAATCAAGCCCAATTTTCTCTGTTCCTAAGGTATTTTTTCTGAAGGCTGGTCCCTGCCCAATTTCAAATTTCAACTCCTGCTATTTCATCTAAAAAACTGATCAAAAATAGCTACAAGAATTAATAATAGACAAATTAATTCCACTCCCCACAAAAAATACTCTTCTTGTACTTAAAATGGCTGAACCATTTTGCTCAACCTTGGATGACACCAAGTAAGGTGAGTTTAGCTTAACAAAGAGAAGGTTCAGGGGTGACAATCACAGTCTATAAGTATAAACCTGGGGACAAATATTTGGCTCTTCAGTCTAGCAGAGGAAGGTACAACAACAGGGGTCGGCTACCTTTCAGAAGCGGTGTGCCGAGTCTTCATTTATTCACTCTAATTTAAGATTTCGCGTGCCAGTAATACGTGTTAGCATTTTTAGAAGGTCTCTTTCTATGTCTATAATATATAACTAAACTATTGTTGTATGTAAAGTAAATAAGGTTTTTAAAATGTTTAAGAAGCTTCATTTAAAATTAAATTAAAATGCAGAGCCCCCGGACCAGTGGCCAGGACCCAGGCAGTGTGAGTGCCACTGAAAATCAGCTCGCGTGCCGCCTTCGGCACCCGTGCCATAGGTTGCCTACCCCTGGTATAACACGATCCAATGGCTGGAAGCTGAAGCTAGACAAATTCAGACTGGAAATACGGTGTTAATTTTTAATGATGAGAGTAATTAACCATTGGAACAGTTTACCAAGGGGATGGTGGATTTTCCAACACTGACAATTTTTAAATCAAGATTGGATTTTTTTTTTTTTTTTTAAAAGCTCTGCTGTAGGAATTATTTTGGGAAAGTTCTATGGCCTGTGTTATATAGGAGGACAACCTAGAATAGATGATCACAACAGTCACTTTTGCCCTTGGAATCCAGAAGTTTCATCCCATAAAAGTGAAAGTGTCAGAATATGATGATACTGAAAACAAGGGGTTCCAACAGAAACTGGTCAACAACCGTAACTATAGAGGTCTGCTTCTGTAAAAAAGCTCCATAAGTGTACAAGACACTACAAAATATATACAGTTGCGCAAAAGAGGACAAAACACCAATTCCAGGGAGCTTACAGTCTAAAGATGCACGAGTGGATACAGTACAGAACAGAATGGCTAGAGATCATTCCATCTGGAATGCTTTGCAAAATTCAGAAGTTTGCAGGAGGAAAAGAAATGGCAATTTACAAACTAGCCTGAGACAGTGCCAATTTGAGGTGTTATTAGAAAGTAAAGTGTGAGCCTGGTAGTTGTATCAGTCCATAAGAGGAGAGCAGGGCAAGGGAGTAGAGACAAAGCAGCAGCACACATTATATGGAGTATCTGAAGAGACATCTGCAGAGCATTGTTCCTTTTTAAATTTGCTGCATATAGTGAAGCCCTCTTAGCAAGACAGATTGTTAGCTTCCCTGCCAGAAGTGAGCCATCTACCCAACTTGATGTGCGCCTGGAATATGAGAACATCACAGATGCCAGCTGTACTGTACATGGAGAGCATCCTGCATTTCAATCTTTTCAGATCTTATTCACACTGACTTTGTGAAGGTGCTTCTCTTGCCCAGTTTACATATGGTCAGGGCAGAGGTAGCACTGCCATTCAGGGTTGAGAGATGCCAGGTTGCCAGGAAGGAAAAAGTCTTGACTTAAGAAGTGGGGATCTCAGCAACTATCAGCAGGTTTTTGGTACAAGCAGTTACTCTCAAAGAATAGGGATTTCAGGACTTTCCAAGTCATGGTGGGTGGAGCTCTCTATTCACCTTACAAGATTCTAGGTAGTTACTCTTTGGGACCTGCTCTATAGGAATAGCCAGTACAGATGATTTTAGAAAAAAGTTTGCTATTTCAGTAAAAATCATCGTGACAAGGCTGCCCTTTCATCTCCTGTTTTCTTTCACATTGTTAATGCAGCCACTGGGCTGACAGAACAGATCAAAAGAGACATCAGACAACAAATTAAGCTGTTGTGCCAACTTGGAGTACATTACACCTACAGCACAATTATGCTCAGAACCAAGGAAGGCTTGGAATGCCAGCAAGAGAAGTGTTCTGTTTGCTATGGGTATCACAGGTAATAGTAGTAGCCAGAATACTCAGCCCATTCCCAGCCGCCCTCAGTGTTCATCTTCCTCATGGGCTGCTTCATGGGCTATATATTGTTTCTCATAGACTTTATTTATTATAATTTCTCATGCCGCACACTGGTGTGGGAGAGGACTTACAAATCAGTGGGTACTGATTGTCTCCCATCTTGAGACATGGCCAATGTTACATAGGAGAATGGATTTCTGGCTTGTGACTAAGTGAGGTGGAACAAGACCAGTTTGCCCAAGGTAGTTAGAAATCAAAATATTGAGCACTCAGCAGCATAAGAAAAAAGACTAAATTTAAAAGGGTGATGAGCAAGAGATTTATGTTCAAAGTTTCACCTACTTTAATTTATATAATCTGGAGAGGAGTATTCAAAATTTTCTAATCAATTTACTGTACATCATTACCTTGTTGCTGAGAAAATATAAGCAACACTCACTAGAAGAAAACAACAAATGGGCAGTGTTGGCTCTGCTTCTGCCACCAAACCAACTTCCCAGTCCACTGCTGACATGGTGACTATCATTAAGGATATGTTTTAGTCACGGAGGCCACAGACTGTGGTGTTAACGGACCTCCGTGACTTCTTGAGCTTCAGCCCCCACCACAGCAGCTGCAGCTAGAGCTGCCAGCAGCAGGGGCTAGAGTGGTCTCCCCCTGCAGCTGCCAGAGCTGTCTCCTCTCTCCCCCACGGCCAGAGCTATCCAGGGCCGGAGCTATCCACACACCCCCTCTCCCCGCCAAATGGGCACAGCTGACTGCAGCCAGGGCTGGAGCTGTCCCCACCATCACGGGCAGAGCTGTCAGCAGCTGCAGCCGGAGCTGACCCCCCCCCCGCCCCCAGCAACCGGACCTGTCATCCTACTCCCCTCCCTGTCAGCCAGTAGACAGGGCTGAAGCTGTCCTCCCCCACTCCAGAGGCCAAGACTGGGACTGGGGCTGGGGCTGTCAATTCCCCCAAGCAGTCAGCCCCTCTTCCCCCTGGTTATTTATAGTAAAAGTCATGGACAAGTTGAGGGCTTCCATTAATTTTTGTTTATTACCCATGACCTGTCCGTGACTTTTGCTAAAAATATCCATGACAAAATCTTAACCTTAACAATCATGGCTCTGCCACAAGGAAAACAAAGAATAATGTTCATTTTGGGACACTTTAAAAACAAAGGTTGGGGGGAGGGAGAGAAGAAATAAAAGCTTATTAGTAAAATGGAAAAAAAGACAAATCAGTAGGGAACGAGATAGGATTTTACAGTCTTTACTCTAGCTGGTTATAGGGTGCCCATCT